TGTGATATTATGCCTATATGTTGATGACATTCTTATTTTTGGTTCTGACATACAAATCATAAATGATATCAAACACTTTTTATCACAAAATTTTGACATGAAAGATTTAGGTCAAGCTGACCTAATTCTTAATACTAAAATCATGAAAAATGAGAATGGATATGTGCTATCACAATCACACTACATAGAGAAAATCCTTAAGAATTTTTATGATCCAAACTGTCAACCTGTTTCCACTCCATATGATCCTAATGTACATCTAAAGAAAAATACAGGTCATCCTCAATTACAAAGAGAATATGCACAAATAATTGGATCACTAGGATTCCTAACAAACTACACCAGACCTGACATTGCTTATGCAGTAAATAGACTTAGTAGATATACATCAAATCCTGATAAGAGTCACTGGGATGCTCTAGAAAGAGTTTTGAGATACCTAAAAGGAACTATGAATTATGGTTTACAGTTATAACTTAAAAACTTGGGTTTGTAGAGGAAAAGAGGAAAAATTTAGTCCCACATAGGAAATGGAATAGGAAGGAAGAGTCTTTATAAGCCTTACCTTTCTCTCCTATGCCTAGAAGAAAACAAAAGGTTATGCTCCACACCACACACGCGCGCGCCGGCCGGGCCGGGTCGGGTCGGGTTTGGTGGCGCGCGCCCACGACCTGCGGACATGAATGCAGCTCTGGATTAATAGGCCTTTAATCTGCTACATTTTTATTTTTGAATAATTAAAATGTAATATTTATTTTTTAATAATTAACATGTGATAAACATTTTTGTAACGGTTAGGATTAAATATTTTGTAACTGTTATAATTAAAATACTGCGGTTTTATGGATTTAAATGACAAAAAACGGCTAACGTTAATACATTAATGGGTGAGTAATTAAAACGTATTAATTACGAGATTATGAGTAACGGCTGTTTTTCCCTATAAAAGGTTCTAAAATCCGAAGAGTTTTACATAGGCCGATAATAGCGCAACCCGTTTAGAATTCTTCAAAACTGTACTATGTGTGCTTTCTGTAGAAATCCGATAAATGAGACTGGTTCAAGGCGAAGTCCACCAAGCTCTCACGGATCTATACAACTGTCACTAAGTGAAGGTTCAAACCGAAAGGTACCTCCACCTATTACATAGTATAAGGGAACCAGCAATCTTATTTATTTTTAAGTTTTTATTTTATTCTTATTTCTGAGCTATTTCAAGTTTTAAGTTATGTGGGGGATTGTTGGAGTTATAACTTAAAAACTTGGGTTTGTAGAGGAAAAGAGGAAAACTTTAGTCCCACATTGGAAAAGAGATGGGAAGATAGGCTCTTTATAAGCCTTCCCTTTCTCTCCTATGCCTAGAAGAAAACAAAGGTTATGCTCCACACCACACACGCGCGCGCCGGCCGGGCCGGGCTCGGGCTCGGGGTCGGGTCGGGTGGCGCGCGCACACGACCTGCGGACACGAATGCAGCTCCGGACTGAGGGGCTCTTAATCTGCTACATTTTTATTTTTGAATAATTAAAATGTAATATTTATTTTTGAATAATTAACATGTGATAAACATTTTTGTAACGGTTAGGATTAAATATTTTGTAACTGTTATAATTAAAATACCGCGGTTTTATGGATTTAAATGACAAAAAACGGCTAACGTTAATACATTAATGGGTGAGTAATTAAAACGTATTAATTACGAGATTATGAGTAACGGCTGTTTTTCCCTATAAAAGGTTCTAAAATCCGAAGAGTTTTACATAGCGAAATACAACAAGCTCTTCTTCTCCTTCTCTGTTCTTTCTCTTAAATTTATTTACTGTTACAATTTGCTGGTTCCCTGAAAGTCACGAAGAATTCACAAAGCCTTCTTGAAGCTCGTGCCGACGAGAAGGAGGTCGCCTGACCGAGGGTCGTTGTATCTCCGGGGACTTTTGCTGCGTAGCCCTGTACGAGAGGGGGCAATTAGTTTCTTGGGACAGTGCTTGCACGCCTCGACCATCAGGCTATATTCTAAACTCAGTTTAATTTTATATCTATTTTTGAATCATTATCTAATTCTGTTAAAACTACATTTTGTGCTAATTATACTCTAAACAGTTTATATTCCCAACAATCCCAACGACTAGTTTTTCTAGCTTTTTTTTTGTCTTTTTGCTGGTTTTGTTGGTTTTCAAAGTTAATTAGGCTTCTTATAAGTAATGTTTTTGTGCCGGCCCAGGCCTGCATACTGCATAAACGATGTAATTCTAGTTCTGACGCCTGCGATAGTACTAGTCTACCATAGTGTGTACAAGGAAAAAACAAAAAACAAAAAACAAAAAAAGTATGCGAATGCAATCTCTTCCTTTGATTGTTCCACCAAAAAAAGGGATTTTTTTTCTTTTTTTTTTTTCTTTTTTTTTTGGGGTGGGGGGG